TTGTCTCTGTATTAGAGTATATCAAACTGAATATCTTTGACAATTAAAGACATAACCTTGGACTTTGAGAAACTTAGATGATCCAAACAATTGAAAATAATTGGCAGATTAATCAATAATTAAATTGATTGTCAATAGCAGCTCTAATTACAGTAAAGTGATGTAATTTTCTGAACTTACCAGACTGTTCTAGTTGTTTTATTATTTGCCTTTACCTGCTTAGTCATTACATCCACTTTACTGATGATTGCTTATCAAAAATCTCATTGTGTAAATATTTTATGAAAACACAGATAGTCAACTTACAATATCGTCGTAACATTGATACCAAGATATTTGGTCAACATTCTCGGAACCCATCAGCTGCATTCGGTGTCTGACTTCCGGCAGGTGGCGATACAGCCTCTGGGGGCAGACCCCCGATTTTTTGGCATTCCGGTTTGATTTGGGCAGAGGAGGCGAATTTCTGTTTCTGACTTCCGTTTATATATAAGTAAATATGCTGAACCATTGCGATGGATTCAGAGTTTGCAGTGATGCCAATTATGTTCTGCCTCGTTAGTTCACCTTACGGACTGTGTAACCTGGCAACAACTGCAGCCGGCTCGAACGTGATTGGTCAATATCACGCGGACTACAAACAGCCTACAACTGGAAACCAGGGCTCTTCCGCTTTTCTTCCGGAGGCAAGGTCTCCAGGGTTTGCCTACAGACTCTACATTCACTGAATGTAGAGTCTGTATATAGAGACTATTTGGTAAACAACATCATGGTATTTAATTTTCTCTATATTATCCAGCCCTACTTTCACCCATCCAATTTGCAAATAGTTAATCATAGCATCACGTTTTTGGATGGGAAGTCTGTTCAGTTTCCACTTCAGCTCCAGCGTGGTATCAACCTTCTTATCTAACTTGCTGCAACTAAGTGTATAATTGAATTTCCCAAAATGTTGAACTATACCTTTTACTATGGTATGTTTAGACTCAAACACTGTAGAGAACGTTAAATTTATATTTCTTGAGTGAGGCAGCAGTCTTTTCTTTTTAATTTTTTCTAAAAAAAAACCTCAACAAATTTGATTTGAATCATTATTTTGAATATTTGAGATAAGTATGGTGTCATAACAACAGTAAAACTTTTATTTGCAACCTGCAAATAATTGTACAAATCCTGGGTTGTGTAAAGCTCGCCTAGGGTACCTCTGAACTGGCTTCAACACTCACTTCGTCATCAAACAGTAATCACCACAGCTAACATATTAACCTTTTTATATGCTGCACTTACTTAAGGGTTTTATTGTTACAGGTTGATTTTCCTACCAAAATCTGCCTCTTATTGCCCAGCTTCCAGATGAGAGAAGAGAGGAGTTGATAAAAAATGTTAATACACTCATCTGAGCCACCCTCAGCCATTACCATAAGCTTAAAAAGCAACTGTGAGTGCTTTACAGACTCACCCCCAGGCTACATATAGGCTGCCCTACTTTATAGCTGGAGTGTGTTGCAGATGCTACTTGGGGCTAATAAACGCCGCTGCCAATGTCATCTGTCAGATAAGAAATCATTTAATCATAGTTTTAATTTACAGTCAATGTTCTCATAAAAAGATACTCGAATTGACCAAAGTAATTGAAGTATCAGGTATCTGTAAAGGGAACAAAATGATTTGGAAAAAGTCTTACAACATAGAGGTTTATATTGCCTTTTTATTTTTTGTTATTCTATAATTTTTATAGAAAGCACAAAAAACAATTTTGTCAGAATTTATTTGCTCAGTTAAATTGAATACACCAACCAGCCATAACCTTAAAACTACTGACAGGTAAAGTAAATAATATTGATCATCTTGTTACAGTGCAAATTTTCGCTGGGAAACCTCGGGTCCTGGCATTCATGTGGATACCACTTAACTTGCTCCGCCCACACAAACATTGAATCAGACCCAAGTACGCCCTCTCAGGGCAACGGCACTCCCTGATGGCAGTGGCCCCCCCAGCAGGACAATGCACCATGCCACACTGCAAAAACTGCTCAGGAATGGTCCGAGGATCTGATCGAGTATCTGCTGGACACACTGGTACCTTAGAGTTCCTGTGTCCATGTCTTGATGGGTCAGAGCCAAGTCCTGTCTAGGTTGGGGCCACCTTGGATCGGACTTGGCTCTGACCTGTCGAGTCATAGACACAGGAGCTCTGGGGATGTCCTGTGGTGTCTGGCACCGGGGTGTTAGCGGCGAATCCTTAGAGTTGATCACATTTAGATCTGGGAAATTTGGAGGCCAGCTCAACACATTGTGCTCTTTGTCACTCAAGCCATTCCTGAACAGTTTTTGCAGTGTGGCAGGGTGTACTTTCCTGCTGGGGGGCCACTGCCACTGGTAGAGTGCAGCTGCCATGAGGGAGTGCACCTGGTCTGCCATGGTTTTTGAGTAGGTGGTACGTGTCAAGTGAATGCCAGGACCCAAGTCTTCCAAACAGAACATGGTATTGTAATGAGATGGTCAGTGTTATTCCCTTCACCTTTCAGTGGTTTTATTGTTATGGCCGAATGGTGCGTATATTTATTGCCTTAGATGAGCAGTGTTACCAGTATCCATAGAAAGAGGTGTTCATAGTCAGGCCATTTTTTCCCCAGCTCATACTCAGGCTGTCTGTGTTTTATGGGCTCAAAGTTCCTGCAGATCTGGAACATGTTTTCCCACACCTGCAGCAGAAACTCTCCCACCTTCCACTCTCATTCTTGTATCCACATATATGTTAAAATACACGTATGTATTTTCCTCTCTGCACTCTGTATTTATTTCTTTTTCCCCGTGCTACGTATATATTTCTTGCTCAGAACCACAAACACAGATGCAAAAGTGCAGTAAAAATACACTACACACTCACACACACACACACACACACACACACACACACACACACACACACACAGGAGACCTCCCCTCCAGTCGTCCCATTAACCTCTCACTCAGAGGCAGTTGTGGAGCTGCACTGGGATTATCTCATCTGTAGGATGTAGTGATACTCTTGGTGTTTTTCTCCTTCTTTCAGCATTCTCAGTTTCTTTCCTTTTCTCTTTTTACTTGTCATAAATCTCATGCGGACGTAATGTTGTCTGGGAAAAGAGCGATTGGGTTGGGGAGGTTAGGTCTTAAATTTTGACCACCCTCAAATAACAAAAACTCCACCGCCTCCCTGGAGTTCAGTCTTTGGAAGAGATTTTGTGGAATACAGTATGACGAAGGCTTCCAGCTCCGAATCTGTCAGGCTCTCACGTCTTTTCAGCAGCCAGAGCGCCACAGCTGTCCTGTCTGTGGATACTAAAATCACATGCTGCTCCGGGGCTCCACTAAACCAGACATGATATAAATTCAACGTGATTAATGCTCTTTTATAGATATTTTTCTGCCAATATAAGGATAAGAAGGGAATTCCCGCTGTTGTTTGTAAGTAGCATGAAAGATCAGCTCGTGGTTCGCTGTGTGACTTCCTGTTGTCATGGCTGTAGTTTGACCAGACATCTGTCTTTAACAGTAAAATGATGTGATCACCCTGAGAAAATGCTGGAACCTTGTCTAGCTTCCAGGACTCAAGAGATTCAGACTGAAGGAAATAGTTTTTCCTCCTTTACCTCTGAACAGACGCCAGAGGTCCTTTATGTGGATTTCATGATACAATATTCTGGTGATGGATTAAAAAAGCTTTCAGCGCTGACGGATTTCATATGACTGGATTTTCATACAGTGATCTTCAGTGGGAACTTCAGCTCAGAGTTTGTTAACACTTTACAGCCCTGAAAGATGATGTCATTTATCATATAAAAGGTCGCTGAACTGGGTTTTATATCTCACCTGTAAAAATGAGCTTGCACACAACTGTGTCTATGAGAGCCAAACTAATGTTATAAGGTTAACTAATGCTATTACCTGATTAGCTTATTGCAGATATATCAAAAAATGTACTCGTTGGAAAATACAGCACAGAAAGTTTTTTTCCCCTATCATAGGCAATTTAGAAACCGTGTCTCCATAACAGTTTCTAACAAGTTTATTTTTAATTGTAAACTATCCCTGTCCTTTGTCTTAAAATGTCTTAAATTTTGAATTGAATTGAAATTTTAATGTCTTTCTGTTAACATGAGTCAAGCTCTTGTGCGTGAAAGTCCACATTTCTGATGTTACAAACCTTTAAACCTACCACTGAAACTAATACTGTCTTTTTGCTTTATTCTTGTACTTACCGGTTGGCAAAATGTAGATGAACCTAACTCACTCGAATAACTAATTCCTACATAAAACCTACCTCCACACAAGACCATATATGTTGTATACTATAAATTTATACTTACTTGCAATGCTTGAATAACAAAAAGATGATTTGTACAAAAATTAGTCTTAAATTTGGTTAAAAATTATCTGGAAAAGGTCTTTAAAAGCATTAAATTTAAGTGTCTTGTATGATTCAAGTTAAATGAACAGTTTACACCAAAGTCAAAACAGTCAGAACTATTTTATTTCTATTGAATTACACCTCCCAACTGCATCACTGCACAGAAGGATGTGTGCATTACAGCATACAACATCCCTCTGTCCTTTGGACCCTCACAGCCAATAAGGAAAAACTCCCCCAAAAATACCCTTTAACGGGGAAAATGAATGGGAGCCTGATTTACTTTCTTTTTTTAAACCCAAATGAGCTTTGGTCTTTTGTAGTGTTCACAGAAAATGTACCAATATACTCAGACCATTTCTCTGGGTGTTCTCAGTGTCATCTAGAACATACTTCCCAATTCACTGTCTATGGAGCAGCTCCACACTTTATATCTTATGACAACACAAATTTGAGTTTTAGCACTATAGTGTTTGGATCTGGGAGAGAGTTGTTAATGTTCATATATATTTTTGGAGAGTAGGAATAACGTAAGAAGTTCCCCTTAAATATTTTTGTGGTGTATGTATATATACTAGGTTCACCTCTCCCTTCCCTTTTCTCCCAGAACCATGACCATAGCTGTATCGCCTGTCGCATCATCTACCGCTCAGATGAGTTCCACCCTCCCATCCTGCCACCGCGGGCTGACCTGACTGTCGGGCTGTACGGTCAGTGGGTGAGCCAGCGCTGTGAAGTTCGCCCCGAGGTCCTCTTCCTCACTCGCCACTTCATCTTCCACGACAACAACCACACCTGGGAGGGCCACTACTACCACTACTCTGACCCTGTCTGTAAACACCCCACCTTCACCATCTACGCCCGCGGGCGCTACAGCCGGGGGCTTCACTCCACCCGTGTGATGGGTGGGACAGACTTTGTCTTCAAAGGTAAGTGGTTATTTTCTTATCTAATATTGGTGTTTTCTTCAAAAGTGAAGTACTAACAATCCTCAGAGGAGACTAACATTTAATGTGACTAGAGAACCAAATCTACCCTCTCATTGTCCTGCCTTCATACCTTTATTAAGAGGATGCAACTACTTGTAAACTCTATCATCAGTGTGACTCAGACTTAAAGGGACATTGTGTAGCATTTTCAGTTGTTTATTGGCAAAAATCGATGTCTGCATTCATAAATATGTCATCATTGGTATATTATTACCTCCACCAATAATCTGACTTATTATTGCAAAAGGAGAATTTCGGATTTGATTGTACATCGGGCGGGTAAGTCATTTGGGAGGTTCCATAACGTTTCACCATCTTGAAAATGCATCCGCCAGCAAGGAACAAATAGTACTACCAGGGAATAGCGATGACATTTTTTTGTCACCATAAAAAATGTCATAGTATAGTATGCCAAAAAAATTGTCTTAATATGTCATAAAAAAAAGTCATAGTATAGTATGTCGTACAAAATGTCATAGTACAGTATGCCAAAAAATGTCATAGTATAGTATGTCATAAAAAATGTCTTAGTATAGTATGTCATAAAAAAACATTGTAGTATAATGTCATAAAAAATGTCATAGTTTAGTATGCCAAAAAATGTCATAGTATAGTATGTCATAAAAAAACGTCATAGTATAGTAAGTCATAAAAAACGTATGTCGTAAAAATGTCATAGTATAGTATGTCATACAAAATGTCTTAGTATAGTATGTCATAAAAAAACATTGTAGTATAATATGTCATAAAAAAGTCATAGTTTAGTATGTCCTAAAAAATGTCATAGTATAATATGTCCTAAAAAATGTCATAGTATAGTATGCCAAAAAATGTCATAGTATAGTATGTCATAAAAAAATGTCATAGTATAGTACGTCATAAAAAACTTAATCGTATAGTATGCAAAAAAATGTCTTAGTAGAGTATGTCATAAAAAATGTCTTAGTATAGTATCCCAAAAAATGTCAGAGTATGTCATCAAAATGTCTTAGTATGGTATGTCATAAAAAAACACTGTAGTATAGTATGTTGTAAAAAATGTCATAGTATAGTATGTCATAAAAAAACGTCATAGTATAGTACGTCATAAAAAACTTAATCGTATAGTATGCAAAAAATGTCTTAGTAGAGTACGTCATAAAAAATGTCTTAGTATAGTATCCCAAAAAATGTCAGAGTATGTCATCAAAATGTCTTAGTATAGTATGTCATAAAAAAACATTGTAGTATAGTATGTTGTAAAAAATGTCTTAGAATAGTATGTCATAAAAACCGTCATAGTATATTATGTCGTACGAAATGTCACAGTATAGTATGCCAAAAAATGTCATAGTATAGTATGTCATAAAAAACCTATATCGTGAAAATGTCATAGTATAGTATGTCATACAAAATGTCTTAGTATAGTATGTCATAAAAAAACATTGTAGTATAATATGTCATAGTTTAGTATGCCAAAAAATGTCATAGTATAGTATGTCCTAAAAAATGTCATAGTATAGTATGCCAAAAAATGTGATAGTATAGTATGTCATAAAAAAAACACTGTAGTATAATGTCATAAAAAATGTCATAGTTTAGTATGTCATAAAAAAACGTCATAGTATAGTACATCATAAAAAACTTAATCGTATAGTATGCAAAAAATGTCTTAGTAGAGTACGTCATAAAAAATGTCTTAGTATAGTATCCCAAAAAATGTCAGAGTATGTCATCAAAATGTCTTAGTATAGTATGTCATAAAAAAACATTGTAGTATAGTATGTTGTAAAAAATGTCTTTGAATAGTATGTCATAAAAACCGTCATAGTATATTATGTCGTACGAAATGTCATAATATAGTATGCCAAAAAATGTCATAGTATAGTATGTCATAAAAAACGTATGTTGTAAAAATGTCATAGTATAGTATGTCATACAAAATGTCTTAGTATAGTATGTCATAAAAAAACATTGTAGTATAATATGTCATAAAAAATGTCATAGTTTAGTATGCCAAAAAATGTCATCGTATAGTATGTCCTAAAAAATGTTATAGTATAGTACGTCCTAAAAAATGTCATATGCCAAAAAATGTCTTAGTAGAGTATGTCATCAAAATGTCTTAGTATAGTATGTCATAAAAAAACATTGTAGTATAGTATGTCATAAAAAAACATTGTAGTATAGTATGTTGTAAAAAATGTCATAGTATAATATGTCATAAAAAATGTCATAGTTTAGTATTCCAAAAAATGTCATAGTATAGTATGTCGTACGAAATGTCATAGTATAGTATGTCGTACGAAATGTCCTAGTATAGTATGCAAAAAAATGTCCTATTAGAGTACATCATAAAAAATACCTTAGTATAGTATCCCAAAAAATGTCAGAGTATGTCATCAAAATGTCCTAGTATAGTATGCCAAAAAAATGTCATAGTAGAGTACGTCGTAAAAAATGTCTTAGTATAGTATGCCAAAAATGTCATAGTATCATATGTCATCAAAATGTGTTAGTATAGTATGCCAAAAAAGGTCATAGTATAGTATGTCATAATGTCTTCATCACTTTAATTTGGCAACTGGTAAAGGAAGACCTTATTGTAATAATTTAAATACTGCTGGGTATCTGAATTCATAAAAATACATCTTAGTGTTAGTTTATTAGTTGATCGATGCTTTGTAAAGATAATCTGACTGTAAGTTACTAAAGCTGTCAAAATAAACGTACTGAAGTGAAAAGTTCAATATTTGCCTCAAAAATGTTGTGGAGTGGAAGTGTAAAGTAACAAAGTGGAAAAACTCAGTAAAGTACAGGTTGGACAAAATTGTACTTCTTGACTAAATGTACTTAGTTACATTCCATCAGTAAATATAATATAGTTTATAATTTAATAAACCAGTATAACATAGTATGGGAAATATGATAAAGTATAATGTGACATTAAGTAATATAGGGTAACATAATATATAGTGTGGTGCAGCAAACACATAACATACTAAATATGATATTGTTTAATGATACAAAAAATAATGCAGTCCATCATACAGGTATATAGGTTTTTGACACATGTATGCATTCAGAAGAACTAGTACAACAAAATAACCAAATTACGCTACAGTACAGGACACTATGTTTCAGTCATTTTTATTGTTGATGCAACTCTGACAGTCAGTTAAGTTAAATTAATGTTCAACATGTTGGAAAATGTGTTTATTTTCTCTCTTTCTGAGAGTTACATGAGAAGTATGTTCAGTACATGTTTAGCTGGAGCCAGCGTCTCTAATGCTCGCTAGTTAACATGTTATACTGTGTATCTTGGTGAGGTATAATTATTAGCAGTGATGGTCATAATTACAAAGAGGTATGCAAGAAAAAGTCTTCATGAATTCAACATAACACAGCTTGAATAATGGCTATACAGATGATCATTTTGCAGGTGAAGTATTTGAAGCTAACAGGTCTCTTTGTGTCTTTCCTCCTCTAGTAAACCACATGAGAGTAACTCCCATGGACTTTGCCACCACCTCCCTCCTCAATGTCTTCAATGGTAACGAGTGTGGAGTGCAGGGGTCCTGGCAGGTCGGGGTGGAGCAGGACGTCACTTTAACCAACGGCTGCGTGGCACTGGGCATTCGGCTCCCCCACACAGAATACGAGCTTTTCCGCATGGAGCAGGACGCCCACGGCCGTTACCTGCTCTACAACGGCCAGCGTCCCAGCGACGGCTCCAGCCCAGACCGGCCGGAGAAGCGGGCCACCTCCTACCAGATGCCCCTGGTGCAGTGTTCGGCAAGCAGCCAGCCCTCTGAGTACAGCAGAGCGGACGACATTGACAGGCCTCTGCTGCACCACAATGACTGCACAGGATGGCACAGAGGTAGCCAGCAACACATCATGGTGGCTCTTGTTGCATTCATCATGTCTCTGCTTCTCTGCTGGAAAAGCTAGAGAGCAGTTTGGGCTTTTTCTACATAAAGACACAACAAGAAAAGAGTGTGGATTACAAGAGCAGACAGCAAATATAAACTTCTCTGATGTGAAAGAGGATGAAACTGGTGCGCCTGATCCTCTGAACTCCTTCCCAGCTACCAAAGACTCAACACTGCTGCACCACAGAAACTTTAGCACTTTAGAGTGGAACCAAAGACCAACCTGTCTGTGTTTCCACAAGTATACAAAGATGTCTATATATCCGCACAGACATGAGAGTATGTTTTATACAGTGTATTTACCTACAACTTTCAAGTCATTTCTTGGTACTGCCAAAAGACACGATTCGATGTGTGGAAACTTTTTCTATGATGAACTCTTGACAATAAGCTCCCTGCCTCGAGGAGATGTGCTTATGGACAGTCACTGTTTACAGCAAAAGGGAACTACGCGACTTATCTTACAGAAGTTTCTTTAAATGTTGCCTTACAGTACAACAAACTCAGCAGCAGTTATCTGTCATCTAGTCCATATTAAGGTCATGATGCTATCTTGGATAGAATAAAGTCCATAACCTTCCATGCATTTCATTCCCTCACTGATCAGAGAGCTACATCTACGCTGGCCAATACGATCAATGGCTATTTTGAAATTATGTCATACTCAGATTGGGATGGGCACTTAAAAATTGGCATATAAATTGCCACTCTCAACATCTGGAGACTTCAGCTACACTATTAAGTTTGAATTGGGACTGAGCTAAATTTAATAAAATTACACTTATAACAATATTTTTTGATAAATATCAAGAATTTTAATGTATGAAAAATCACAATCATGTTTTATTGTTGTGCTTTACATGAACAAAATGTTTCATGGGAGAAAAATCTCTTAATTTTTTATTACAATTTGATTGGAATCACTAAATAAACACAAATTCACAAACTAGACTACAATATGATAAAATCACAAAATGATTCCAATTCATTTTTATACATTTTTACACCTACATTTGGGCCCTGTTTGGGGGCAAGTTGTAGCTTAACTCCACGATTAAAATTTAGATACTGCCATTCATTTTGATGGTGAACTATCTCGGCAGTCAGTGCAAGAATTTACTGTTTAAATACTGTGGACCTATAATTTCGTGCTGACAGGAAATGAACCAAGGACTACATCTGGGGACATATGAAACTGCAACTTCAAATTTAGTGCCAGTTTCAGAAAGGGTATCATAATATGTTTTTGTCCATCAGTTTTTGGTTTTACAAGGATTACTGCATTAACATCTGACCTTTTGTATTAATATTATTTTTTTTTTACTAGACATAAACAGACCCTTGTTTTAGGTACATGTGGGTCTTATCCCTCCAAATAGTCACAGGATTGTGCTTTAAAGTTTGTTGTAACAACAAATATAGAAGACTGAGGTTTAGGTTTAACTGGACATTTGTGTATTTGTAACAAAGAATTGATTCTGGTTATGAAGCACTGTGTAGTAGGCCATGTCTTACCTGTCCAGTTTGTGCAGCTACTTGAACAAGTCTTCCAGTGTGGAATCGACATGACAACATAAATTAGTGCTCTTTGCTCCTCAAGTTCCTGTCTAATCTTGACAATGGAATAAATTCAAAATACCTTTCCATAGGATAAAGGTCATCAGAACCCTTCAGTTCTCCAGTCGGATCTCGATCACAACTTTAATGAAGCTCACTGCAGTGTTGTCATTATCAGTGTAAAGATGTCGTCACCCTCTGGATGGTGGACCAGTACCTGTTTGGGAACTTTCCAGCATGCTTCTACTGAACCAAAACTTTCAGACTGTGTTCAACAGAGACCCCCATCCCAGCATACTCTTTTCCTGCAGTGGAAAAACTCTTATATTGCACAATTGTCATTGATTGTGCAGAATCTCGTTCAGTGTGCGCAGGCCTGAACCTGTATTGGACTCCAAGAAATGTCTTTTTGTAACTGGTTACATGTATAAGATTAAAGGTTTGATACACTTCAGTGTTGATCTATTGTTTAATTTTTTAAAGTATCTTTTTTGCATACTTACCTCTAACAATATATTAATATAACTTTCAAATTGTTATGGAATTTTACATTAAAAGTCATGGTGTATTATGTCGTAAAAAGTCATACTTTAGTCTGCCATAAAAAATACTATTAAAGCATGTCATAAAAAATGTATAAAAATATAGTGTGCCATAAAAGTCACTGTATTGTATGTTAGTCTTTTAAAAAGTGTCAAAGAATACATTATGAAAAAAGTGATTTAACAAAGTCACATTATGTTGTAAAGAAAAACAATAAAAGGCATCTATAGTATGTCTAAAAAAAAGTTAGTTTTGTCATAAAAAAGTTTTTTAAAAAGTCATTATCATAAAAAGGTCATAGTATGTCATTAAGAAAAGTCAGTATTGTATGTCATCCAAAGTTCTAAGAAAATATAGTATGGCATACCATAAAGTCTTTTAAAAAGTTATAGTTTAGCATGTGATAAAGTCATAGAACAGTATACTACAAAAAAAAAGTCATTGTATTGTGTGTCATAAAAAGGCTCAGTATGGTATGTCATTATAAAGTGTCATCATAAAAAAAATTTACCAATTCTTTAAAGGGCCTTAATTGTCACCTAATGCATTCATCGACATTCAATACTTGCTCAGACCCCGCAGGCACAGGATGTCCCTCTCTCTACTGCCAAAAAGACGAGGAAAAAAAAAAAACAAACATCCAGTGGTCTTTTCCCACGGTACCCTGTCCTCCAGCAGTCAGTGTGAATCATACCTCTTTACATTTAATACAAAGATTGCAGGTTTCACTTTTGGGTAAAATAAGCATCTTGTCAAGAAGGTTCAGTATTTTAGCCATCAAACTGAAATGTACCAAAAACTTACCAAAATTACCTTGGCAGAAAACCTCAAAAATACTGAGTAACAGCCTGGAATATATGCAAGGTGAAACCATTAAAATGTAGAAACATCTAACAAAGAATCCAAAAGAGCGCCAGACTTGCATCTTGATTAATTTGGTCCGTAAACACTGCATAACTTTACACAGCATTTTCTCCAGTTTCATAACAGAGCAGATGTCTGAGGTTGAGAAGCATTTTCTAGTTGTATGACCCTTGGCAGCTAATAAAGCCGAATAACAGGGATATAATAGATATTGCTTGACTGAAACGTCAAGTGTAATTAAAACACATGGTTAGCTCACATAGGGTACTTTGTTCTTGTAATAAGAAAAAAAGTATCCAATACAAAATGTTGGCAGCAATACTGATGGAAAAGCTGGCACACAAACATAGCACGCTCACTTTATGGCATCACATAAAGAATATTTGAGGGTGTATCACTGAAAAGGGGAGACACAGGAAAAGATGGCTATCGAAACCACATTTTTTCATTTTTATTTCTTCAATGCTTAATACCATGGGACAGGATTTTAAGAATGGAGACCTTATTTCAGTCATATTTGCCTCAAAAGGAATATATGATTTGTATAATAATAATAATATTAATAATAATAATAATAATATATAAAGTCTGCATTGGTGTTGTGAGGAAAAGGAAAGGACAGAAATGTACAAGAAGGAGGCACCTATCCCCAGCTGGACCTGAACATTCCAAGACAAGAAGTAGAAATTACAAACTGAACAAATTTACTTCAGAGGCAATCCAGCAACAGGTAGCAAGGTGTTTTTGATGGAAGTTCTTTCCTTTTTTGTTTAAAAGGATTTAAAACAACATTTACAAGACACCTAACATTCCATTCAATTCCTATTAAAAACAACAGAGAGAGAGCGAGAGAAAAAAATCTAATCTTCTGACTGCCTCTTGCCCATGGTTCACTCTAGGTGCATCTTCCATGTTGACTGATAGTATACAACTCTCGTTGTCCTGCCACATTACCTGTATAATCCAGCCATCAGAAAACAGAAAACAAAAGAAAAAAGGGAGCAATCACTTTTTTGTCGCCTTTCTTTTCTCAACTCTCTGTGTACTAACCGTGTGAGATTGTAAAAAGGCGGCGCCTTCGAATGATGCTGTACAGATGTGTTCACTGTAGGCCACACTACCAATGATATGGCAAAGTCAACACAAAGACTTCTCGGTTTTTCCAGGCCTGTTTTTATTCCGGAGCCGGGGCGGGGGGATACGGCTGGCATGCATCTCCCAGTCTACAAGATGAACTTCCCTAGGAAGAATCCGATGAAGATGGCTGCTATGACGACGAGGAGGGAGGGCAGGGAGGCGGTGCTGGCTTCTCGGCCGAGGAGGCTGGTTGAGTTTGATGTCATGTGGTCTGAGCGGGGCATCTTTCTCATTCTGATACCATCCTCCTGTAACAGAGTAGGAGGAGTGGAAAAGAAGACCGTCAACATACAAGGCATGTTTGCGAGCCGGGGGGTCCTCAAACTTTATTATCTTGGAACCCATAATTGAAAAATCAAATTTAACGAGTCCCCTATATGAGATTGAGCTCTTAAGTGGACACATTCTCACTCCGACCTCGTCACATATTTGGTCAAGGACTTTCCACGTCCACATATGACATGCAAGGTACCCGGGGTGTGTTGGTTGTTGACATTCTGAGACACCTTGTCAAGTTTTGCCTGTTACATGCATTGCCTTCTTTCAAGATACACTTCTGGTTTCACAGGAAATTTACTATTTACTTACAGTCATACTTCAACAACTAACGCACCTGGTTGGGTTTAGGCAACAAAAACATATGGTTAGGTTTAGGGAAAAAGAACAGGGTTTGGCCGTAGAATCTAATGGACATGAACACCGCTCTCTCGGGTGCAAGTCCATGTTTGTTGGACCAATCCACAACAACTCCCACCCACCCAGTCGGACTTTTGCTGCCTTAACTTTAATCCTTGTCCTGCCGCGTTTCCCCCTGATGCTGCCGGGCACCATTAAACTATAAGGGCAACCGGCCGCATATCATGCCAACGTTTAAGGACGGCCTTTTTCATCAGTGTTTGACGTCGCAAGTCACTGCCCAAGCGCCGGATGTCGACGAGGCTCCTTATGAAAACGTAACCTAACGTAAACAAAGATATGTTATAGATCACAAGTAGCAGGCTTAGTTTCAGTATTGACTATTGTTCTTTATGTTTTGGGTAACTTGTGTTTGGTAGCTATTTGTACTGTGTGGCGTGGCTCGAAGTACAGATGTGAGTGCGCCCAGAGCGTCCTCAAAGCATCTTGAGATCTGACTGGCCAGACGCCATAGAGAAGTGGTCTGGGCTGCATATGGTTATATTCTGTCAGCAGTTTGTACACTAATTTGTCTTGGTCCACACTGAAGGACCACCAGCTCAGCTGAGGTCTTATTCATCCAACTCCCTGCTAAAGAGCCAGACTTTATGTTGCTGCTGTTACACAGGTTAGATGCACAGCACTGCAGGATCATCTCTGGAGCCGATTTCCTTCCAACAAACAGTCAGTTCACCGTATGCTGTTATGTGTTTATTTGCATATAGAGCAGGGAATTGAGATCCATTAAAAAGTGGTCACTCGAGACACATGGAGATACATTCTATGTCCATGTGTGACCAGACAAACTAGGGCTGTCCACTTGCAATCGGATCACCCAAGACACATGAATACCAGGCTCCATGTTACATTTTTGCATTGTAACAATTTTGGCATTTGTGTTTTGCCCTTTAACTTGTTTCTCTGAAGATTAGGAGCTGGTCTGGTTCCTCTGCTAGACTAACTCAGTAGGAACCAGATGTAAAATTTGCTTTCTTTGATTGTGTCAAGGTGTCCACACTAACTGCTTCAGTGTAGAGGAACTGAAGCAGATTTTGCTTCCATTTCAAGAGCCCATTTGCACACCGTAATAATGTGCTATCTGTATAAGGAATATGTATGTTAAATGCCAGGTATTAATACACACAGAAAGCAGTACAATCACAATGTTTTTAGGATTGGAAGTAATCACAAGGAAACCACCATGTTTTATCGTGTCTTATCAACACATCTAACCTTTAATTGTCGGTTCTCGTCAGCCAGCTTGTTCAACTCAGATTGCAGCCTCTTGCACTTCTCCATCACTTTCTTCATCTCCGAATCGTCCAGTGAGGCAGTGACAGGCACCGTGGCTGCTGATGTGTCGCCCTTCGCAGAGTTCATCACCGGGGCTGCTTTGGTCGCGTCCACGTCATTCTGCCCAACAAGTAGAGGGAGAGAACCACTGAAGTGAAATCCAGCATGCCCTGAGCTAAGTAGGGAGGTTAGCCTCTAGACGGAAGCCCGTGCCAAAGAAAGGCAGCCTTGTCCGAGGCCCAGAAGCTCACAGTGCCAGATCAAAGAGACCAAGGAGGAAATACATCCCTCCAGAAGTCATGTTTGATGTGGCTTTGTTTTGTGGGACAGACAACATGACGGCATGGGGAAATGAAGGGCTTTGTAATGGAAATACAACAACTGTATTGTAGATGAAGGTTGACAATCAATACACAGACAGGATATGATGTTATTATCCCTTTTACCACAATCCAAGGCAAACATTTATATAGAAGTCCATCAAGGCCAAGGTCATTTTTGGAAGAAATGATACTAAATAAGTGCTGCTGCAAACATCCGGATGTCTCATCATAAATCAGCAGGAAGGTTCAGATGGTCAACACTGACCTGTTGTGTCTTACAGCAGAGTAGGTGTGTGCCTGTGACTGGGGTTATCAAGAGGGCAACTCTGTTCATGATGTTTTATTAATTTAGGCTAAGGATGCACCAGTTGTCAAATGTAGGGCCTATACTGATAATCAAAATAACAATGTGGCTGACAGCAGATACAGATGTTTTTTGGTTGTGGTTATTTATTTTGTTTTTGTTGCTATTAATTCCCCCTAATAATCGTCATTATTAAAAAATACTTAAGTGTTTTAATTTAGGTCATTCAGCCCTTCCTTACACTACCTTTGAATGAAAACAAAATCAATCAAAGAAGGGAAGGGAAGATCTCAGTTCGTCCCAAACACGTTTTCT